CAGCCACTCCTCAGAAGGAAGGTTGGGCAATCTACTTCCGTAGTGATACTGCCTCAGCAACCCAAGCAGGGGTTGCTATGAGTCAGGGCAGACTCGATGGCACTTAACAACAACAACAACAACATCAAAGACTGCTGACATTATAGAGAAACCACCAAGTGTTATGTGTATTGTGATGGAAGTACTTAACACCACCTATGAAGTAGTCTTGCCATTAATACAGTTGACCCTTGAACAATATGCGTTTGAACTGCATGAATCCACTTACATGCAAATTTTTCTCAATAAATATATTGAAAATTTTGGGGAGATTTGTGACAATTTGAAAAAACTTACAGTTCAGCTGTGTAGTCTAGAAATATTGAAAACTTAAGAAAAAGGTATGTCATGAATGCATAAATGTCATCTAAAATATGTCAATACTATTCTATTTTATCATTTATTACCATAACAAATACAAAAATCTAGTATAAAAAGTTGAAATTTATGAAAACTTAATGCACACAAACACAGACCATACAGGGTGCCATTTGCAGTTAAGAGAAATGTAAACAAATGTAAAGATGCAATATTAATCATAACTGCATAAAATTAATCATAGTACATACTGTACTACTGTAATAATTTTATAGTCACTTCTTGTTGCCACTGAGATGAACTCAAGTATTTTATCTGCTTAAAATGCCATGTGATGCTAATCATCTCTGTGTGAGCAGTTCATTTCTGGAGTAAATTGTGTATCACAGTAAAAAGTGATCTCTCATAATGCATTTTTCATCATGTTTACTGCAATACTATAAACTTTGAATAATATTATGGGACCTTTACAAAGTGCAACTAGTGATGTTGGAAGTACTCCCAAGAAGCAGAGAAAAGTCATGATATTCCAATATGTACTATAGATTGCTGCAGATACAGTTGTCCACTATTTTAAGATAAATGAATCCAGTGTAAGGACCATTACAAAAAAAAAAAAAAAAATAAGGAAATTTGTGAAGTCTTCACTGCAGTTATGCCAGCAGGTGCAAAAACCTTGCATTTTTTATTAAATAACTTTTCATCTAGTATTGAAAATGCAGCTTTTATGTGGGTGCAGAATTGCTATAAGAAAGGTATACCTATAGATTCTAATGTGCTTTAAGAAACTATGAAGTCATTATAACCTAAAAGGAAGGTGAAGGATCTATAGCTGGAGAATTTAACCAGCAAACCAACAACCAGCAAAGGGTGGTTGGATAGTTTTGGAAAGAGGTCTGGCTTAAAAAATAAGATAATGAGAGAAGCAACTTTTCGTGACCAAGAAGCAGCAGAGGAGTTTCCAGACACCATTAAGAAAATAATTGAGGAGAAAGGACATCTGCCTGAACAGGTTTTTAATGAAGATGAAATTGTTCTATTCTGGAAAGAAAAATGCCACAAAGGACATTTATTATTGAGGAAGATAATTGAGCACCAGGATATAAGGCAAGAAGGGATAGGCTAACTTTATTGTTTTATGCAAATGCAATAGGGTCTAGGATCAGGACTGGTTATGCTATTGGTAAGGCTTCCAGTCAACAGTAGGCTATTAGTAGTTAAGCTTATGGGGAGTCAAAAGTTATTTATGGATTTTTGACTGTGCTGGAAGTCAGTGCTGCAAACTCCATGTTGTTCAAGGGTCAACTGAAGTAATAATATCAGAATCTTATTCAGCCTCTTGGGCTAACCACCAATTTATAGGGAATACAGGGCACAGAGGACAAATATTATGAGACAACTCAGGAAACAGGAACATTGACTAGAAAACTGGTGATACTGAAGAATTCTTGTTCTGTCCGTTATGTGTGATGACGGTAGAGTGGTTATTTTATCTTTTAGCACTATGCAGTGAAATATTTACAGATGAAACAACAAAATGTATGGAATTTATTTCAAAATAATATGGGAATGTGGAGTGGATGGTGGTATAGATAAAAAAAGATTAAACATAAACTGATAATTATTGAAGCTGGGTGATGGGTACATCTGATTGATTATACTAGTTTCTTTTGTATATGTTTTAAAGTTATCAAAATAAAAAATTAAAAGAAAAAAAAAATAACCACCCCAGATGTCTTCCTTTCTCTTTAATTCTTGCCTTAATGTCTACTTTGTTATTAAAATACTAACTTTTGTTTGGTTAGTGTTTGTACAGTATGTTTTTTTTCCCCATCTTTTGACTTCAATCTTTCATTGTATGTATATTTAAGAAGTATCTTTTGTAAGCTGTTTACAGTTATTATTATTATTATTATTATTTTGATTTGGGTGAATACAGTTGGGTTTTTAATATTTTTATCACTTTAAAAATCTTTATCTCTTAATTGGAATAGTTACTCTTTTTATATTTAATATAATTATTAATATGTTATTGTGTGCTGTTGAGTCAATTCTGACTCAGAGTGACCTTACAGGACAGAGTAGAACTTCCACATAAGATTTCCAAGGCTGTAATCTTTATGGAAACAGACTGCCACATATTTCTTCTACAGAGCAACTGGGACCTTTTGATTAGCAGCTGAACACTTAATCACTAAGTCACCAGAGGTCTTTAATTACTGATATATTTAGGTTTAAATGTCTGTTGTAATTTTACTTTCTATTTGTCCCATCTGTTCCATGTTTTTTTTTCCTGCCTTCTATGTTCATTTTTTAGTGTTTTAGTAGTAATCCTAGGATTACAACATGGATCCTTGATTTACCAAAGTCTAAAATAAGTTAGTGACCAGGCAGTGTTTTGTTCTGTTATACACAGGGTCACTGTGAGTTGAAACCAACTTGATGGCACCTGACAACAATAATAATCTAAGTTTGTACTTTTATCTTTTCCCAGACAATTCAAGGACCTTAGAATACTTTAACTCCATTTATTCCCTTCTAACTCGCGTGCTACTGTTTTCATGTATTTTATTTCTATATTATGTTTAAGCATCAAATTACATCATTATTATTGTTTTATAAGTCAATATCCCTTTACATTAACCCACACATTTATATTTTCTTTGCTCTTCATTTTTTTTTTTTTTTTTTCTGAATTGCTAAGCTTCCTTCTTAGATAATTTTCATTCTCCCTGAAGAACACTACTTGAGTAGCAACTCCCCATGACTATGCTGGGCCACAGAGAAAATGATGGTATTTATGAATGCATGAGTGATTATGAAAATTAGAATCTACTATTACTAGCTTTCCATAGAAAGAGAAAAGATTTAAAAGATTCTTTTTATTTGCGTGCCACTATTTTCATTTACCTACTTGATTCTGCCAATCTTGAAGACATTGATTTTAATTAATAAGTTAAAAACTTACTTTGATGAACTATAGCATAGGCTCATCCATGCTAATATAATCACCAGACCAAACAGCTCCCTATAAAATATCATATATTTTATATTTTAGGTGGCTGCAAGTGAGATACACATTATCATATTCTACCCATGCCCACTTAATTCTATTGTCTGTCCGAACGATTTTCTCTGATATAAATCATCTACAGAATATTTTCAAGTCTGGCTATGATTCATAAATTACTTTACTCAGACAGTTTAAAGCCTTCTATGAATATAAATTCCATCTTATGAGACAGATATGAGATACATGACCATTCCCTAGCTTAGGAGAGAGGTGGGGGAGGAGAACACAGATAAATCACATTGGGTCACTGGAAGAAATTGTACAACCAAAAAAACAATTCTAAATTTGATCAGTCATTATTTTTGTCATTTTTTAGTGTTAGTATAAGGTCAAATCAATAAATAATTTCAGCACCTATTTCAGGAGATTATGTCACTTTTTAGAGAGGAGGAATGATTCATAGTATGAGTCAGACTAGTGATTTTGGGGTGAGTATACTCTTTTCTATATGTGTGTCATAAGAACATATCTTTTACATAGAATTGAAAAAAAACATATTCAACTATAGTACCACTGGAAGCCCCACTAAGTTTACCACAACTCATGGGCTTCAGGCTTAAAGTGATTGAATCCATGTTGTTTACATTCCCATCTACAGAACAAAACTGATGTGCTCTTTAGTTTTGCAAGGATTTGGACCTAAATGAAGTAGCACCTCTTCAGTGATGCTTAACTTTTAGATGTCTGAATCTTCATTGTTATCAACAAGACAGGAAGGAAAGGAAGGAAAAGGGACTATTAGCGAGGGGAGGGCAGAGAGGATGCAAAGGAAGAGGTGATAGAAGGAAGAGGTGAGAAAATAGGAACAAATTGTCATGAAGAAGGGAGGAAATGACATGAGACATTCCAGAGCAAGGCTGGCAAAAGTTGACTTAAAATACTGACCTCTGAGGTGGCTGGTCACACTGATAAGATTTTGGCTTGAACCAGCACTGAGTCAGAACACTGACATCATATCATTTTATTAGATTGTACTGGGTATTACTGTGTCACATCCTTGCTAGTCACAAAGTGGTCAATCTCCAACTACATGATAGCAATATAACACAATAATTGTAGTTATTACCTGAAGCAGTAGTAATAGAGTATGATAGATACTTCTGTGTTTGAATCCTGACTCCATCATTTCCTCAGTTTCTTCAGTTTACAAAGGAGAAAATACATTCTCTGTTCCTCATGGTGTAGTTGGGGAGTTTAATCATCATTATGTACAGATAAAGTATTGTTGTAAGGGAACAGAAAGTTTCTCAGTTCTACAACCCCCCCCCCCAAAAGAGCAAGAGTCACTACTCACCTGCCTTCTTCCTCGTGTAAGATATTCTGTTGTGTATGAAGAAAGAGGTAGTATCCTAAGCCGAGAGCCCATATGATACAAAATAATATGTGTATTGCAGAGATGCTCTTCCAAATACAGTTACCTAAAAAAGGATATCCAAACATTGTTAATCATGGAAACATACATATCCCAATGAAAAATGATTTGGGGACTCTCTCTTGACCTACTTTTGCATAGTCTGCTTTCAGGATAGGCATTCAGACAGGAAAAATCTTTTTTTTTGGGGGGGGGGAGGGGGAACAACATAGAGATTCAAGCACTAATTATAAACTTAAGCGGACATTTATTGTTTGGATTGTTCAGCATTTCTCCTTCCTATGACAACTACCCTGATTTTCCTTGGGGATCCATCCCTGCCACACTTCAGTCCACATGTCCCAGTGAACTCAACCTTAACTAGGCCAACCAAAGTATTTTATCCTATTAGCTACAGTGACTTGGCTCAGGATGACCAGAAGACCAATCAGGGCCAATAATTCAATTCTGAGGGTTTTGTGGAGCTCTCAGGGAAACAGACTCTATACTCTGTTGGACTTGGTGTTGTGATGTGAACCTGAGTTGCAGGGTTACCATGTGAATTCATTTTCTGTACCCAGAAGTAAAGTCAGCACATCACACTATGGAACCAAGAAGTGGAAAGAAATTTAAATCCAGCATCCACCAGTGCTTGAAGATGGCAGTACCCCAAGTCTTTTCAGTAATAAATACTAAAACATTTCCTTTTTAGCTTATAGCCAATATGAATTGTGTTATTGTGTTTTCTGTGCTTGTAACTAACAGAGCCCTTACTGATGCACTTTAATGATGTAGACAGAGTACGAGCGGCCTACAAGAGCCCACATGTCAAGGGAACTAGAGTTTTTCCCACCCGAGCTGAATCATTTGTCTTTATTCTAAGGCCCTCAACTTTCAAACTTCACTGGTAAAATCTTTAAAGAAAGTGAAGAATGACCTGTCAGGAACAATATCCCCATTAATGAAAAATGTTTCTTAACATTTATTTTTTTCTGATAGAAGACACATTATATAGTATAAAAATGTCTAACTTAAAGTTTGATGAGAATTTTTCAGGGCAGAAAAGGTGAACCATCTACATTTTCCCCAATATTGAGGTAGGCAGCCTGAAGGCAATACAAACCAGTTATTCTAAGTGAATTTTTTACATGTTACAAAAGTAATCTGAGGAGCAGGTTACAAAATAAATATATCACAAAATCTTTGTTTTACAGTCATTCATTCATTCAACAAGCATTAAGTTCCTACTACATGCATGGCCTGGCCATATGTAGGTTGTTGTTGTTAGGTGCTAGTGAGTCAACAGAATGAAACATTCATTTCCTGGTCCTGCACCGTTCTCACAATCATTGCTATGCTTCAGCCCATAGTTGTAGTCAATCTATCTTGTGGAAGGTCTTCCCCTTTTTTGCTCACCCTCTACTTTGCCAAGCATGATATCATTCTCCAGGGACTGGTCCCCTCTGACATGACCAAAGTATGAGAGATGAAGTCTGGTCATTCTCGTCTCTAAGGAGAATTTCTGCTATACTTCCTCCAAGACAGATTTATTTGTTCTTCTAACAGTCCATGGTACATTCAATATTTTTTGCCAACACTATAATTCAAATGCATCAATTCTTGTGCAGTCTTCCTTATTCATTGTCCAGTTCTCACATGCATATGAGGCTACTGAAAATGCCAAGGATTAGGTCAGGCACACATTAGTTTTCAAAGTGACATCTTTGTTCTTAAACACTTTAAAGGGGTCTTTTGCAGAAGATTTGCCAAATATAATATGTCACTTGATTTCCTGACTGCTGCTTCTATGGGTGTTGACTGTGAATCCAAGTAAAATGAAATCCCTGACAACTTCCAATCTTTTCTCCATTTATCATGATGTTGCTTATTGGTCCAGTTGTGAGGATTCTAGTTTTCTTTATGTTGAGGTGTAGGCTAGGCTTGTGCGAAGAGGAAGAAGAGATGATCCTACTACTGAGAGGCTTACAGCCTAGTGCGGGGACACAGATATGTAAAAGCTTGCAATAAATTGCTATAACAACTTGATTAGGGAGAGCAACATAAGTTAATGAAAAATCTAGAGATTTGTTATAGATATTATAAACAGTTTCTATACCTAAGTGTTGAATGAATTCAAAATAAAATGATTAATGGGAATGGTCTAAGAAGAATTTGTAAAGAAAGTGAGTTGAACTGGGTTTTAACAAGTAAATATACAATAGATTGTTACTGAGTATGGAGACACAGGACAGCATTTAGATTTTTGCTGATTTTACATTAGGTTGGTGATTTAAGAGAAATCAGTGCAGTGACTCAAACCCTTTTCTCTCATGGTCTAAGCTGTGTAAGAGGTCTTGGGTTCCAAACTGATAAAGAATGGTTAACATGCCAAGTCCTTGCAAAGTTCTGTAGAAAGGCAAGGATAACCTATATTAGAGCTCTGGTAGTGTAGTGCCTCAGGCATTTGACTGCTAACCAGAAGTCTGGTGGTTCAAATCCATCAGCCACTCTTAGGAAGGAAGATTGGGCAATCTACTTCTGTAGAGACCCAAGGAGGGGTCACTACAAGTTGGGACCGACTTGACTCGACAGCAGTGAGTTTGGTTTGGGAGCTCTGGTGGCATAGTGCTTAAGGCATCTGACTGCTAACCAGGAGGCTGGCAGTTCAAACCCACCAGCCACTCCTTGGAAGGAAGGTTGGGCAATCTTGATATCAATGATAGCACCCAGAAACCCAAGGAGAGGTCACTATGAGTTGGATCCGACTTGATGGTAGTGTTTGGTTTGGTTTTTTTACTATAGGAAATCAAAGGAAAGGCCTTGGGAGCCTCCTTTTATTCCTGGGATTTGGGTCAACAGACTTTTGCTAACAGTTAAGCAAATATAATTGACTATTAGCTGAAAGGTTGGTAGTTTGAACACACCTAGCAGTTCCTCAAAAGACAGCCTAGTGATCTGCTTCCAAAGGTCACAGCCATGCCCTACGAAACAGTACTACCCTGCATACATGGGGCTACCACAAGTTGGAATTGACTCAAAGGAAATTAACAACATTATAGGAAATAAGAAGAGAGGCTTGTGAACCCCCTTTTTCTACTGGGATTTTGGTCAACAAAATCTATCATTATTATAGTGAAGGTAAAGAATCTTATTTGTTCTACCTCCATTCAGACTCTAAGGTTCATACCTGTGACAAGAGGGTTAAGTCCAACAAACAGGGTCAGTCCTGCAGGTATTGTGTACACCAGCTATTAGCAAAAAGATAGAAAATCATGTGGGTTAAGAAGTATGCCAAATATATGAGATGTTCAGAAGTTATCTAGGAAATAGAGAAAAAGGACATCAGTGGCCATTATGTTCCATAATTTACCTCTAGGTTTTAGTAATAATTGAGGATGTGGTAACTTCTGATTCTATGGCACTTATCATTTCAAGTAAGTCCTCCTAGACTGTAAGCTATTCCAGGAAGGGCTCATTCATCTTTTATTTATTTATTTATTATTGATTGATTGAATGATTGCTTGATTGTGATTTGGGTGAAGATTTACAGAGAAAATTCACTTTCCATACAGCAGTTCACATATACTTTGTCTCATGTCATTGACCACAGTTTACCACAATGCAACAGCTCCCCTCCCCACTTCCTCCCCATA